GAACTCTGGGCCTGGGCACTGTCCCTCAGCTCTTCAGCTCAAGGCTAGCGCTCTACCACTTGAGCCACAGCGCCACTTCCGGCTTTTTTCTTATGTGGTGCTGAGGAATCAAACCCAGGGCCTCGAGCATGCAAGGCAAGTGCTCTACCACTGAGCCACCTTCCCAGCCCCCATCATATGCTTTTTCATTAAAATGAAGTATCACTAGCTTTTTGCCCTAGGTGGCATTGAATATTGATCCTTCTATCCCTGCCAACCTAGATTACACAATTACACCACCATTGAGATTACAGGTGTGCCCCACCATGCCACACCTTAGCAAATACATAATTTACCTGGTATATGTTCTGAAACAAAGAGAGTTTCTTAATTTTTTTTTATCACAAATTATTTATTTATTTTTCCATCCTAGGGCTTGAACTCTGGGCCTGAGTGTTGTCCCTGGGCTCCTTTTTGCTCTCTACACTTAGCCATAGCACCACTATTAGCTTTTTCTGTGATTAATTGAAGAGAAGAGTTTCACAGGCTGGGAAGGTGGCTCAGTGGTAGAGCGCTTGCCTTGCAAGCCTGAGGCCCTGGGTTCGATTCCTCAGCACCATATAAGCAAAAAGAAAAAAGCCGGAAGTGGCGCTGTGGCTCAAGTGGTAGAGTGCTAGCCTTGAGCTGCAGAGTTGAGGGACAGTGCCCAGGCCCAGAGTTCAGGCCCCACGACTGGACCCCAAAAAAAAAAAAAAAAGAGAGTCTCACATATTTTGCTGCCCAGGCTGGTTTGGAACTGTGATCTTTAGATCTCAGCTTCCTGAGTAGCTAGAATTGCAAGCATGAGCCACTGGTTCCCAGCCAAATAGTTTACTTCTCTCCTAAAGTTCTATTATCAGGCACCTTTGAGACGTTGATATTGAAAAGATATTTTATCTTTGCAAAGTTGGACACATTAATTGCTGAATGGTCTTTGGTTCATATAGAGGATAGAAATTTTGATCCTATATTACTACAAAAAAAATTTATTCTAGAATCAGAGCTTAATATGCTAAAATTTCAGTAAGTCAAAAATAATTTGAGTAAAATAAAAATATACTATACAAAATCCTGTTCAGAAAGCTTAAAGGGTCTTAGTTTTTTCTTACTGGGCCAGTTCTGTATGTTTCTTCTCCCTACAGCAATTCTTGGCTACACAGTTGATTATGCAAACTTCTGAATCTGGAATTAGTGCTAAAAGTCTTCGAGGGAGAGATTCTACCCGCAAACAGGATGCTTCAGAGAAGGTGAGGAGGAAAAGTGTTTGGTGCTAGAAGTCTGAAGCATCCAAACAACCTTGTTGCTGCTTGATATTGCAAAGCTTCTACATTCCAAAAGAAAAAGACACAGCTCTTAGAAATCTGCTGAGAGACCCAATTAGATGGGAGAAATTTTCAGCATATGAGTGAAATATTTCTTTGTGAGAATGCTTTCAGGATGGGAGAAACAAATTAGCTTTCCGCAGTTGGTGATCACTACTTTTTGGTTTTTGGTTTTTTTGGGGTTTTTTTCCCAGTCATAAAGGCTAGATTGGATCTCTTTCTTCTTGTTCTTGAGTTTTAAAATTTTGTCTTTGTGTGTGTGGTTGCTTGTGTCTCTGTCCTGAGGTTTGGGGTGCTTGCAGCCTAGAGTTTCCGTGGAACCTGATCAGTGTTTGTTTGTCCTCTAACAGGACAGTGTCCCCATGGGCTCTCCTGCCTTCCTTCTCTCTCTCTTTGTAAGTATTGAATGGCTGCAAGGGGTGGTGTTGCCAGAAAGAGTCTCTGCTCCTGCTGGGGGTGGGTGGCAGAGGGAAATCTAACATGTAGACTATGGCAATATCTTGAAATTCTTTTTATTCAGGTCAATGAATAAGAAACTGTCTTCTGCATTTCTGTCTTTGTGTGTGTGTATGTGTGTGTATGTGGGCTGGGCAGAGACTGTTTATGAGATCACTGGACTGAAATATGAAATATTTTAGAGTAAAAGGTCTAGGAGGCATCTGCTCATTTCTTGACTCCACCTTTTAGCAATTCTTTTCTTACAAGTAGAAGTTTACTCAGAGCAGCAGCTGCTACCTGGCTTTTAACAGTGCTAAACAGTGTTCCTCCTATTAGCAGTATTTAGCACAGTTTTTCTCCCAAAATTAAGTTCTGAGACAAATCCCTGATACACAAATGCTCAGTAAAACTTAAGCCAAAGATTTCAGTAGCAGTGACCAGTGCATAGTTACGGCTGGAGGAATTATATAAGCTAGAGCTAGCCTAAAGACGTATTCTTTCCATCCATGAACTATGACTGTTGTTTATTATGGAACAATGAAACATGATGTAATGGAAGAGACATCAGACTATAAGTTTATCTACATGGTCTCAAGGTCATTGGAAATTTTCTGGGGCCTTGATATCCTCAACTGTGTGATAAAACTAATAATCATGTACCTGTCCAGCCTACCTCACAGGGATGTTGTGAGGATGAAATAAGTATGGAATGGGCTTGAAAGAAATAATTAAAAGTATTATACAAATGCAAGGTGTTATTTTTATTCTTACTGTTGCCTCATAGGCAGATTTGGTTCGTGAGCTCCAAAAATTTTAGAATCCTTGCATAATAGAAATGTAAAAGTAATCTGGCCCAGCAAAAGTCTTCACTAGTTCATCTTGCCTACAGGCCTCCCAGCCTGTACCACAGACAGAACACTATGATCTGCGTTTTTTCTTATTGGCCTGCAACAGTGACTCTGGATCCCCAAGCAATTGGCTGGCTATTGCAAGGCTGATTAATAGGATCGTTTATCTATTGAAGACAGCAAAGTATTGCACAAGAGGAAGGAGCTGGGCTGCAGGGAGAGAGCAGCAGATGGAAAGAAGCCTGATTGTCCTGATCTCATGGAAAACAACTGTCAGGAGGTGCTAGGGAACTAGTGCCAGGGTCAGTCTGCAGGAAAGGCCTTTCTTATAGGGACCAACAGCTGGACAGGTATGTTAGCCAAGAACCTCATTATTCATTCCCTTTTCTGACTCTGCCACCTTTCATTTACTCTTCCAATTCCTTGCACATGATTTGGGCCTGGGGGGGATGACTAATAAGTCATTCTGTGGGACCCTAGGTAGATTCCAAGGACCTTTGTGATGGGCATGAGCAAGATACTCTGTCCTACATTTCCTCTCACAAACTACAAGGTGTTCTTTTAGCTACTCTGTGGGAATACAGAAAATGCCCTCCTCCTCCTGGAGTTTCCTACTGATTCTCTCCTCTTCCCCCAAGAAAACAAATCTCCCAACATTTTTGTTGTACATTGTCTCTTACCTCCTAACCAACTCACTTACATTCCTATTCTTTCTCTGCTGTCATATAGGATGGGGGAACCAGGGGACGCCGCTGTGCCATTGAAGCAGATATGAAGATGAAAAAGTGAATCCTCAAAGTACCCTCTTTGAGCTGAACCTGAAATGAAGTAAACAAGCTAGAGCTTGGGCTTGTGGGCCCAGTTCCATACTTGGTCTTAGCCAAAAGGTCAAAAAGTGATATGGGCCCAGTTACAGAAGAGGAGACACCGGGCCAAATGACATGAGCTGAGAAAAATCTCAGAAAGTTGGAGTAACATAGTTGCCTGTTTTAGGGCAAAAATCATGGGCTATGTTAATGCCCTAGTGTGTAGCTAGTTAGTTGTAACTAGGTTGTAATGTACAGACTTTTTTTTTAATAATAATAAACCTGTGAAGTGTGTGTATACAATAAATAAAAATTTAGCTTTTGTTGTATCATTTGCGTGTGTGTGAGAGTGAGTGTGTGTGAAATAAGTGATTTCTTTTACATAACCTACCTAAATATTTGTGGAAATGAGGTTACAGCTGAAGTGCCATCTTACAAGCTACCTGCTGCAGCTGAGAGGAGGACTTAATTTACATTTGTATTTTTAACATACTGAATTGTGCAGTAAGGGCTATCTTACTCAGATTTTCTTCAATGGGAAAATTTAAGGTTTTCAGAATTCTGCTCATGTATTGCTTAAAGAAGAGAGTACATTTAAGAGGCATTGGCTTTTACGTTAATAAGTATCGTAACACTTTTGCAGATGGTATTTCCAGGGTAAGATATTGCCGGTTCCTTTCCATTTCTATGGGTCTGACTCTTGTACTGAGAGTTTTCTTTTTGTTTTGGAGATGGAGTCTCGTTATGTTGTCCAGGCTCTCTTGGAACTAGCAATTCTTCATTCTCTGCCTCCCATGTATCTTGTATTACAGATGTGTGTCATCATGCCCAGCCAAGAGTTCTTGATATTCCTGCTTGAAGGCTAACCTAATAAAAAGTTCTCTTGGGCTGGACATGTAGGCAATTCTAGCATGTGCAAGGTCCTATGTTCAATCCCTAGCCCTGTGGAAAACCAGAGATCAAATTTATCACCTGAATTCTGTTACTAAGAAAATTTCAGTAGTGAACTAATTATGAGCCTTTTATTATAGAGTTGATTAATATGGCATTTTGCATTATGTAACGCCATCTCCAGAAAGTTGGGTTTAAGAAGAATCACAGGTCTTAAACCTTTTAAAACTTTAGTAAATTTTAGTAAGGAAATAGAAATAATTAGAATTCAAGGCAATCCATAAATGTGTTAAAAGCATTATTAGAGATGGTGAAAAGTGAACCAAGTTTAAGTCTTTGGTAATAAAGAGATAACCAATAAAAACATAGTAAGGGACTGGAAGTTGGCTCCGTAGTAGAGTACTTACCTTGCATGCATGATGCCCTGGGTTTGATTCCTCAGCACCACATAAACAGAAAAAAGCCAGAAGTGGCGCTGTGGCTCAAGTGAGTGCTAGCCTTGAGCTGAAAAGCTGAGGGTCAGCACCAGGCCCAGAGTTCAAGCCCCATGAGCGAAAAAAACAAAAACATTGTAACGAATAGTGAATAGTTAAGAATACAGTCAAATAAGACTAAAGGACTTGGGATGGCAGAAATTTATATTCAAGGCAGCAATTGATACTTGAATAGTTTATAGTAGGTTGAAGTAAAGAGAAAAACTAAAAGACTGCCATTTATTCAGAAGTGAAGAAAAATATTCCAAGAAAGACTGGAAAGAAGACTTGCTTAGTAAACAAGAAAGGTGATTAGTAAGAGGAATGAGAAAATTGGGAAGAGTGGTTTTAGAGATAGGAAGAAAGTATTTCAGTTAGAAATCTAATTAGATATAAGAAGAGGTTTAGTAATAGGAATAAGGGATGGGAATATTGAATAGGAGAAAGTTTTAAGATTGTATGAAAATGGTAGGCTATATAAATGAAATTAGATGCATAGAGAAATACCAGAATGCGTATAAGTAGTAAAGCTTTACCTAGGTATGAAGGTGCTTGAGTTGCAGCACCCAGAGGGCTCGGGCAGAAAGTACAGATTCAAGAGCATAGTGAGGTTTTTGTCTCAACCTCCCCCGTCCCCCCAAAAAAAATTACAAGTAGAGGTTGGGACACAGTAATGAGCTGTGCATAGTTTCAACTCAAAACTATACAAGCTTATATACATCTTTTAAAGAAATTTTATTTTTTGGGGGGTCCGGTCGTGGGGCCTGAACTCTGGGCCTGAGCACTGTCCCTCAGCTCTTCAGCCCAAGGCTAGCGCTCTACCACTTGAGCCACAGTGCCACTATCGGCTTTTTTCTTTTTGCATATGTTGTGCTGAGGAATCAAACCCAGGGCCTCAGGCTTGCAAGGCAAGCGCTCTACCACTGAGCCACCTTTCCAGCCCTAAAGAAATTATTAAAGCACAGAACCAAGAAAACTAAAGTTGTAAGAAGCAAAAGATAAAGGTGCAAGAAAAGGATAATATATTAATGGGGAAGGGAAGATAGCTTTAAAACTTAAATGTTTGTTTTTATTCGAAATTGACAGATTTGACCAGAAGGGTGGCAAAATAATCTTGAAGATGTTTTAGTATAACAGTTAACATACATACACACTGGGGAAAATGCTTCCTTTCTCCTCAAATTTACTGCTTTGTAGTTGCTTTATGGGTGATTTGGGATAGAAGAAATCTGTTCAGTTATTTTCCAGGTTTCCCCCATCCCCTTTTTTGTAATACGATAAAATTCAAGTTAAAAAGTCGAGTAAAGTCAGGCACCAAGGTTCATGCCAGTAATCCTTGCCACTCAGGAGGCTGAGATCTCAGGATCATGGTTTGAAGCTAGCCTGGGCAGGAAAGTCTATGGGACTCATTGACAATTACCCACCAATATGCTGGAAATGGAGTTGTGGCTCAAGTGGCAGAGCACTGGGCAATGTCATTCCTTCCCTTGCTCCCAAGTTTTTCCCTCACAACTCACAAATTGTATAGTTCTTTTTCAACATAGTGTCTACAGTGACTATCACTGATGTATTTGTTCACGCTTTGTCAATTTCTGTATCTTTCCTTACTCTCCCAAAGAAGATTAAGAAAAAAGCCAAGCACCGGTGGCTCATGCCTGTAATCCTAGCTACTCAGGAGGCTGAGATCTGGGGATCATGGAGCAAAGCCAGCCTGGGCAGGAAAGTCTGTGAGACTCATCTCCAATTAACAACCAGAAAATCAGAAGTGGTGCTATGGCTCAAGTGGTAAAATGCTTGCCTTCAGCTGAAGAGCTCAGGGATAGTGCCCAAGGCCCAGAGTTCAAGCCCCATGACTGACGAAAAGAGAAACAGCAACAAAAAAAATCCCATTTCCATTTTCTAGAGTTCATTTTTATAATTATTTTCTATGATCAGATGTACAGGCATTGTGTGTTTGTATTTCTCTCCTGAGAATATTCTCTTTTGGTCTCACTTTGTGTGAATACTTAGGAGTCCTGTATCATGTCCTGGTGTATTAATGTAGCTTTCCCATAGGAAAGAAAATGTGAGCCTTTTGTATCTTGAGCTTGGCTTCACTTAACATGATTTATTCTAGGTCCATTCACTCCCTGCAAATGACATAATCTAGTGGTTGTGTAAAATTCCATTGTGTATAGGTACCACATTTTTTTATCCACTTATCTATTGTAGGGCATCTGGGCTGTTTCCATAACTTGGCTATTGTGAAGAGTGAAGCAATGAACATGGATTTGCAAGTGTCTTTATGGTATCCTGGCTTGTGATATTCTGGGTAGATGCCTAGGAGTGGTATGGTTGGGTCGTAGGGAAGATTTATGTTAAGTTTTTTGAGGAACCTCCAGACTGCTGTCCATAGTGGTTGTACTAGTTTGTCATTTCATTTTTCAATATCTACCTTCAGCTAGGTTTTACTCTTACTAGTGAGCAGAAAGAAATTTCTTGCTCCTTTCTACAGAACGTGGATGATGGCATTACCTTAGAAATATTGATTTGAATGAATTTAATGTATTTTTTCTCTATATTTACAGATGGGGCGTGAGTGGGTTTGGTTGGATTCTGAACGAGACTATCCCAATGAGTCTGAGTTGAGCAACGACTGCAGGTCCCTCTTCAGCTCATGGGACTCCAGTCTGGATCTTGATGTAGGCAGCTGGAGGGAAACTGAGGATCCAGAGACTGAGGAACTAGAAGAAAGCAGCCCAGGGAGAGAATCTAGTGAACTGCTTTTGGGAGATGGAGGCAGTGAGGAATCTCAGGAAGAGAACGAACAAGTGAGCAGCCAGAACCTCCTTCACTTTCTCTCTGAGGTAATGGTGAGCTATTATATTTGGAACTCCTGGCCTACTGCCTCAGGCTCCCTAGTGCTTAGTTTTTTGGTCATATGCCGCTATCCTTGGCCTAACTTTCCAAAAATGCATTATCCTTACATGCTTCTTCCTCTCTTAAAATCGTTCACTAAAATATAAACTCCGTAATGGTAATGACTAGCTCATTGCTGTGTCCCCAGCCCTTGTGGTAGAATATGCACCAAATGGTTGTGGGGCTTTTTTTTTTTTTTTTGGTGAGGGGTGAGGTGGTGCAGGTCCTAGAGCTTGAACTACTCAGGGTCTGGGTGCTATCCCTGATCTTCTTTTTTTTTAGGGAGAGGGAGAGAGGAGGCCTTGAACTCTGGGCCTTGATGCTGTCCCTGGGCTGTTCAGCTCACAGTGAGTGCTCTACCACTTGAACCATACATAGTGCCACTTTCAGTTTTCTGGTGGTTTATTGGAGATAACAGTTTCACAGAGTTTCCTGCTTGGGCTGGCTTTGAACCACGATCCTCAGATCTCAGCTTCCTGAGTAACTAGGATTACAGGTGTGAGACACCAGCGCCTAGCTATCCCTGATCTTTTTCTCAAGGCTAGTGCTCTACCCCTTGAGCCATGCCTACACTTCTGGCTTTTGATGGTTAATTGAAAATGAGTCTTATGGGGGCTGGGAAGGCGGCTCAGTGGTAGAGCACTTGCCTTGCATACATGAGGCCCTGGGTTCGATTCCTCAGCACCACATAAGCAGAAGAAAAAAAAAGCCGAAGTGGCGCTGTGGCACAAGTGGTAGAGTGCTAGCCTTGAGGTGAAGAGCTGAGGGACAGCGCCCAGGCCCAGAGTTCAGGCCCACGACCGGACTCCTTCCCCCCCCCCCAAAAAAAAGAGTCTTATGGACTTTCCTGCTTGGGCTGGATTTGAACTGTGATCCTCAGATTTCAGCCTCCTAAATAGCTAGGATTACAGATGTTAGCCACCTGCGTCCAACTTAGAATATGCACCAAATGTTCTAAGACCAGGATATTTAGGCAGCTGAGTTCTAGAAATTACAATTTTTTCCAGATTGCCTTAATGAGAATCCTTAACATTAATTCAAGTGCAACTACTTTGGCAAAGGCTAAGAACCAGAAATAGATAAGGACAGATGATTATATGCATCCTGCAAATGAACATTCAATATAATCTAGGTTAAGATCAACTAGTATCCAGTTTAATTAGTGCCTGTTCTTTCTCTAGTTTCTGTAGCAAAGAATATTTTCAGGCTTAAACTTTTGGAAGAGGCAGCAGTTAACTTACATATATATTTGCTAAATTTAAAATGATTAAATTGATTAAGTAAACCTACTTGTCATATCAGACCTAGTCACAGTAACAACATAAGCATATAGCATTACGGATTAATGGATGATGGTTTCCAATGGTATGCCTATGCATCTAATAATAAACTTTGATTACAGGTAGCATATTTAATGGAACCATTGTGCATTAGCAGCAAAGAACCAATTGAAGGTGGCTGCCCTACATCTGGAACCAGGCAACAAGAGGGAAGGGAAATTGAAGCTACTGAAGGATATGGGGAGCCCTGCAGAGAGACTGAAGAGCTTTTAACCAAAGCAGACCCCTTAGCAACTGAAAAGAAGCTACTGGGAGAATATAGAAAGCCAGAGATGACTCTAGTCCCCTCAAATACTGATATAATTCAGGAACTATTCACAGAGAGTGAAGAGGTAAGTGAATAACTTACATGAGACGTCTGGTTGGTCTTGATGAAACAGAGCAGAGTGGTTAGAACATAGCCCAACTCCAGATAACCTAGGTCCAAATTCTGGTTTTAGTACCAGTTTTAGCTATGTGATATTAGGCATGCTATTAAATAATTAGAATCTCAATTTTCTCTGCCACAAACAGGTTAACACTGCTCTACTCTAGATTTGTTAAGAAGCTGAAGTGAGACAATTCAGCAGGATATGGCTTACACCTGTTCCCAGCTACTATGGAGGCTGAGGTGGGAGCATCACTTGATCTAGGAGTTTGAGACCAGCTTAGATAACAACTTAGTAAAGCCCTGCCGGGCACTGGTGGCTCATACCCATGAATCCTAGCTGTTCAGGAGGCTGAGATCGCAGTTCAAAGCCAGCCTGGGCAGGAAAGGTTGTGAAACTCTTATCTCCAATTAGCTGTAGCTCAAGTGGTAGAGCATTCACCTTGAGCTGAAGAGCTGAAGGACAGCACTCAGGCCCAGAGTTCAAGCCCCATGACTGACAAAAAAAAAAAAAACAACTTAGTAAAACCTTATCTCAAAATAAATAAGACAACTCATGTCAAGCAGTTAGCACAAAACTTGGCTTATAGTAAATAATCAAATATAAAATCAATTGTTAATATTATCTGACCAACTACAGTAACTCCAAGACCACAAGTGAGCTGGGTGCCAGCTAGGGCCTGTAATCCTAACTACTTGCAAGGTTGAGAGAGAAACAGAAGGTGGTGGCATGTGCCTATGATACCAGCAACAACTAGAAACCTATAGTTGGCGGATTACAGCTCAGGCATGTGCCCTGGAGAAAAGCAAGACCTTCTCCTAAAAATAACCAGTGAAGGCTGCACACAGGTGGCTCACAACTGTAATCCTGTCTACTAAGGAGGCTACAATCTGAGGACAAACAGTTGGAAATCAGCTAGGGCAAGAAAGTCCATAAGATTTAACCACAAAAAGTTGGAAGTAAAGTTGTGTCTCAAGTGGTAGAGCTAGTGCTCTACTAGCTTTGAGCAGGAAAGTGCAGGGATAGTGCCCAGGCCCTCAGTTCAAGTCTCAGGACTGGCACCAAAAAAAAAGATGCACTGTATTAATAATCTGATATATGAGCATTGTAACCTCTTTGCATCTTAATTTTTAAAAATCACTTAATTAGCCTGGTACTAGATTACAGGCTCAGATCTGTAATCCTAGTTACTCAGGAGGCTGAGATCTGAGGATTGCAGTTCAAAGTCAGCCTGGGCAGGAAAGTCACTCAAAAACTAGAAGTGATGCTGTGGCTCAAGTGGTAGAATGCTAGCCTTAAGCAAAAAACCTCAGGGTCAGCTCGCAGGTTCTGGGTTCAAGCCCTTTGATGAACCAAAACAAATAAAACAGTTTTTTTTAAGTGCCTTCAAAGCACAAACTAAGGTGATAATGATTTTTAAAATACAATGTTCAACGAATTGAGTAAATGCTGCTCTTTCATTTTGGAATGTAGAAACAGGGTATGCCAAAGTTAAAATTCTCCCGAAAGATTATTAAGATTTCATTGACTTAAGTCTAGTTAAGCCAATTTTCTCTAATTTCTCCTGTGGCTTTACGAATAATCAACTTCTCACATTCAGCCTTCATAAACTGTGCAAAGGGGCTGGGAAGATGGCTCAGTGGTAGAGCGCTTGCCTTGCATGCCTGAGGCCCTGGGTTCGATTCCTCAGCACCACATAAGCAAAAAGAAGAAAGCCAGAAGTGGCACTGTGGCTCAAGTGGTAGAGTGCTAGCCTTGAGCTGAAGAGCTGAGGGACAGCGCCCAGGCCCAGAGTTCAGGCCCCATGACCGGACCCAATAAAAACAAAAAACAATAAACTGTGCAAAATCACAATGGGGATAATTATTTTAAAAAGTTTGCTTTGTTTTCTGGAATTCCCAGGAGGCTCACGAAGACTCTAAAGAAGAGGACCAAGGTGAAGGGTATATTTCAGAGATGGAAGAACAGCTCCCTTCAGGTGACATTGATGATAGCCTCAGTTTTCAGGAAACTCCCCTGGTGGATTTCCTTTACAACAGTACTAACTCCTCAAAACTGTAAGTTCAGGACTCTGGATGTTGTTCAGTGATAAATGCTTACCCATGCATAAGGTCTTGAGTTTGATCCCCAGTACTGGGGGGGAAATAAATGCCTGTAATCATACTTAGGAGACTGAGTCCATGAGAGTCACAGTTCAAAGCCAGCCCAGGCAGGAAAGTCTATGAGACTCCATCTTCAATTAGCCAGCAAAATATGAGAAGTAGAAGTGGGGCTCAAGTCGTAGAGTACAAGCTTTGAAAAAGAAAAGCTAATGAGAGAGCATGGGGTCCTGAGTTCAAGCCCCTGATAACAGCATTAAAAGAAAAGAAAGGGGCTGGGAAGGTGGCTCAGTGATAGAGTGTTTGCCTTGCATGCACGAGGCCCTGGGTTCGATTCCTCAGTACCACATAAGCAGAAAAAGCCTGAAGTGGTGCTGTAGTTCAAGTGGTAGAGTGCTAGCCTTGAGCTGAAGAGCTGAGGGACAGTGCCTAGGCCGAGAGTTCAGGCCCCACGACTGACGAAAAGAAAAGAAAATGAAAGGCTTAGAGAATGTGGCTAGCAAGCATAAAGCCCTGGGTTCCTCAGTACCACATATACAGAAAAAGCTGGAAGTGGCACTGTGGCTCAAGTGGTAGAGTGCTAGCCTTGAGCAAAAAGAAGCTCAAGGACAGTGCCCAGGCCCTGAGTTCAAGCCCCAGGACTGGCAAAAAAAAAAAAAAATACTGGTCAGGTGCTGGTGGTTTATGCCTGTAATCCTAGAAACTCAGGAGGCTGACATCTGAGGATCACATTTTGAAGCCAGCTTGGACAAGAAAGTCTGTGAAACTCTTATCTCCAATTAACCATCAATAAGCTAGAAGTAGAGCTGTGGCTCAAGTGTTAGAGCATGAGCCTTGAACAAAAAAGCTCAGGGACAAATGGCTAGGCCCTGAGTTTAAGCCACATGGCAAACACTAAACAAAGAAATGGAGTAGGAGAAGTAAAGAAAGAAACTGGGAAGGAAGGAAAGAAAAATGAAAGAAAGAAGGAGGGGAGGGAAACCCTAAAAACAAAGCAATTAACTCTTTGTCCATTTTGTCCATATATCTTTTTTTTTTCTTTTTGGCGGTCCTGAGGCTTGAACTCTGAGACTGGGTACTGTCCCTGAGCTCCTTTTGCTCAAGTCTAGTACTCTACCACTTGAGCCAGCACCATCTGTGGCTTTTTCTGTAATTTAATTGGAAATAAGAGTTTCACAGACTTTCCTGCCCAAGCTGGCTTCAAACCATAATCCTCAGATCTTAGCCTTCTAAGTAGCTGGGATTACAGGCAAGAGCCACAGGCATCCAGCTTGTCCAAATAGCTTAAGTGATATAGAAAACAGCAGACAAGCTTAAAAGTATTTTTTATTTAATTTTTTTTATTATTATAAAGGTGATGTATAAAGGGGTTATAGGTACATAAGTAAGGTAATGAGTACATTTCTTTTTCTTTTTCTTTTTTTTTTGTCATGGGGCTTGAACTCTGGGCCTGGGCGCTATCCCTCAGCTCTTCAGCTCAAGCTCAAGGCCAGCGCTCTACCACTTGAGCCACAGTACCACTTCTGGTATTCTGGTGGTTTATTGGAGATAAGTCTCACAGACTTTCCTGCCCAGGCTGGCTCTGATCCATGATCCTCAGATCTCAGCCTTCTGAGTAGCTAGGATTATAGGCGTGAGCCACCAGCACCCAACATGAGAATATTTCTTTTTTTTTTTTAGGTCCAGTCGTGGGGCCTGAACTCTGGATCTGGGCGCCGTCCCTTAGCTCTTCAGCTCAAGGCTAGCGCTCTACAACTTGAGCCACAGCGCCACTTCTGGCTTTTTTCTTTTTTGATTATGTGGT